TCTCTGAAATCCCTTYTGATTTGTAATAAGTAGCAAGTAAGTCAGAAATCAAAAGCACGTTACTTGTCTTGTCCATTTCTGAGTCTCACCAAAGAGAGATTCCTCCCCCTTCTCTAACACAGAGGAGGGCAAAAGCTTTTCACAAAACACAATACTACACTAATACTGAAGGAAGGGATCCAGGTTTGCTTTCCGTTCTATTGTCTTATTCTGTCAGCTCTCTTGTCTCCCCAAATCCAGGCTTAATAATTTACAGCGGAAAGACATTTAATAAATAAGCGGCAAGATTGGATCCGTCAGCTCTGCACAATGGGATTGTTTGCACCTTCCTGCTTGGCGTCAGCACCAACTCTCCCAGCTTGCTTCAGCTGAAACAATCCCATTTGCTATTTTCATGAAATTAGTTCCTCTGCAGTTTCTATTAATCAGAACATTCTTTGGAGAGAATTATACTGGGATTTTATCATCATCTGAGTTCAACCATTCTGTGAATCTGATGAATTTTTAGCACCTCTGAGTGGCAGAGAGGAGAAAACTTTTGGACTGATGCGACTGGGCAGGGAGCTCTCCCCTGATGTCAGCTAAAACCTTACAGTCCCCAGAACCTGGATCAATCTCCACCACCACCCATTTGAGCAGCTTTCTCCCCTAAACACATCTACTTTACATCCAATAATTCAAAATCTTCTTAGGGTCATGGACCCTTACAAGTTTTATAAAAAGCTATGAATAGTCTGTCCAGAAAAGCCCACATACACACATACACATTAAGCCTCACAATTCAGAAGGTTTGTATATACTCTCCCCTCCACATTTATGGCTTATCCAACAGGCTGGAGTAAAAAATGTGTGTGCTGTGATTTTCCAATCATTCTTACCTCCTTTAACTATCTTAGGTTGGAATAGAAACTCACTTACCTCCAAATTCCTTTGTTGAAACAGAGGAAAKAAATAATTTTAAAAAGAGAAAAGATGGAAAGTAAGTTTTTCATGATGGCTTCTAAGRTTTGGATAAATGTCCCCTAAAGGCACATGGATGGTTTTGTCCCCTGCCCATGGCATATTGGTAGGTAGTGGAGCCTAGTGGAAGGAAATTAGATCATTGAGGGTTTGTCCTCGAAGGAGATATTGGGATTCTAGCCCATTCCTCTTGGCTTCCCAACCCCTGTGAGGTGAGTAGCTTTGCTTCAGCAGCCACTCCCCATCATGATGTGCTGTCTCAATGCAGGTCCAAAAGCCATGTAACCAACTGTGGACTGAAATCTCTAAAACAATGAGCTAAAATAAACCTTTCTTCATTTTAAGTTGATTGTCTTGGGTATCTAGTTATAGTCATGAAGAGTTGACTAATACAAAGGGCAAACACTTTTTGAGAAGTGAGAAAAATGGAATAATGATAACTCAAAATAGCTGAAATAAATCATGAATATCCAAGTGTTCCTTAATTAATATACACTGCACTGTGTTAGTATGAATGAGACATGAGATTAATATTAGGAAAGGTTTTGATGAATTTTTCTTGCCTCCAAATATATATATCACCCACCCAATTCTAAATAAGGTAATCTCTGCATGAGAAAAGTCATAGCATGGATGAAAAAAACTTTGGACCAATGGAGCCCAGCATCTAGTACCAGCTTTGTTTACAGATTATGTAATTTTAGGAAAGAAGTAACTTATCTTCATCAATGTGAGTTTCTAAAAATTAACACTATTTTTTTTAAAAGTCTATTTCAGTTATAACAATCCATCAGAACTGATTTATTKAGGGATGTCTAAGATTGTAAGAATCAAATTTTTCTTAAAGAAAGTGAATATTTAAGTTATGGACCCTACAGTCTCTGTGGCAACTGCTAACTCTGCTGTTGCAGAGAAAGTAGACACAGACTACCAAAAAAAAAAAAAAAAAATGACCATGCCTGTATTACAATAAAAATAAATGGATTGTGAAATTTGAATTCTATTTAATTTTCATATGTCACAAGTAGTTTTCTTCTTTTGATTTTTCCCAACTATTTAAAAATGTARAAAGTTGTCCTTTGTTTGCAAAKCATACCAAAAATAGATGTCAGGCCAGATTAGGCCCACAAACCATARTTTGTTGAACCCTGATCCATAACCTCAGGTAAATATTATGGTCTGAAAAATCTTGGTGGTTATTTTGGGTGGTCTCAGAAAGTCAGTAACTTGGCTTCACTATGAACACTGTACTGGGGGGGAAATTTCTGTTTACTCAGTTTCCCAGTTAGCAGAATGGAATGGTAGTAGCTTTGGAGTGTCAGCCTAATAAAAGTTACTTCATTTTTTGGTACAYTTTTAGACCTATAAAATGCTGAAATAATCTTACATGAGAAAATATATACATAACATTCAGAACTCCCTGGCTGAAAAAAATTTGATAACTCTAAAAAGAGCAAGAAAGCTTCAYATCTTCTCTTGAAATTACCCACGCTTCATAACCCTAGTGACCTCTTTTTGTTGCCCTTCTAGCTCTATCAGGCAGAGTAACAAATGATTTTACACTGAGTAGAAAGAAATAAACATTGCTTTTTGTTGCTTTTGTTGTTGCTTTTACTTGTTTTTTTAGGAGAGAAGAAAATTACAATTTARTAAAATGACATGCATATGATACCTGTGTGCATTCTACAAGTACCTACACACACATTCTATACAGCTGAGATGGGGAGTGATGTGAAGAGGTAYAGTAAAACATACAGAAGACAATTTTTAAAAAGAGAAAGGTTGTATGATCAAGTAATCAATCTCCTCTAGACTGGGGCACACAACTTCAATTCAGAGATGGCARAAGATGGTGACAGAACTTCTCTCAATTTCATATCATTGAACCAGAAAACAAATACCTACACCCAGTTAAGAGGTAAGATGTAGGAGAAGCTTGGGATAAAAATCCCTTCTTTGGGGAGAGAAAACTTAGAAATGTTATGTCCATTCAGGAARATGTAAGAAACTGGGAATGCCTCCTCATTCATGCCCATCCTTAATTTATAATTTAAATTTAATCATTAGAAGTAGAAGGAACTTAACATTCTCAATCTCAGACTTTTGACCACTTTCCCCAAAAACTGATTCTGACCAGTTTAGCTTCAGATTATTTTCCMCTATTTGTTTCCATGTTATTCTGCAAACACTCGGTGCTCATTCTTCTTTTAGCCTCCTTGTTCAAACTGTTTCTTCTCCCTAAATTCCTTTCCATCTCTATTACATCTTTCCGATTTCTACCCATAAGCAAGGGTCCAGCTTTGTTCTTGCTCTATCATGCAGACACACCCACATTAACTCCAGTCAAAGCAAAATTTCCTTGGAATATACAAGAACAAAAATACAATAATGCAAAACTGCAAATGCTCTGAAACATGAGGTATCATTACCTTTTGGAGTAATGAGCTATAAATTAGTTTTGACCCACTGTTATATCTTGCTTTAAAATGCTTGCTAGTTGTTTCCTGTGTTCTCAACCTAACATTAGAAAACCACCCAAACCTCATTAAGGTGTTGTATCATATTTCTTGAGTATCTTCACAGTCTCTAATGATGCATATACTACAGTTAACACTCAAGTCCAATGAAATGAATTAATCAAAATAATGGCTTTTTTTTTTTAACCACAGAGCTCCTCACTGGACCAACTAAGGTTAGGATGTTAAACTCATAAGAAATCATTTGTTAGTTAATGACACTGCAAATGAACCACTGACAGAATAAACTTTATGTCGGCAATCAATGAAATTCACCCATCTTCTGTTTCATTCATAAAGCTGATTCAGGAGTTGAATTCCCTAATTCAGATTGAATAGTTGATTTATGGTGTTTCCATAGTTTGTCTAAGGACAAAGGTTTAAATACTTGCTCTCAAATTTGGTACTGTTTGTTTGTTGTTTTGGTACCGGGGATTGAACTCAGGGGAGCTCCACCACTGAGCCACATCCCCAGCTCTATTGTATTTTATTTAGAGACAGGGTCACACTGAGTTGCCTGGCGCCTGGCTTTCGCTGAGGCTGGCTTTGAACTCACCAGCCTCCGGATCCGCTGGTATTACAGGCGTTCGCCAGCGTGTCCGGCTGGTATTGTTTGTTTGTTTTCCCTTCCTGATTCCACAGACTTTCTCCTGGTTCCGTTAATTGGCCTGATGGATGACTCTTTGGGTCTATGGGCAATTCTGGCAATTCTGGCTGGCAGTTAGGTAACAGCAGTCTGCTAAAAGCGTGGACCAATCCCAGTTGCAGCTGCCTGGAAGAGTAGCAGCAAAGGATWTACTTGATTGATCCTACACCTCTTTCCCAGTCTGTAGATTTGGGTAGAATGACCCTTGCCTCAGTCTACTTCGAAGTAGCTGCCGGCTATAACGCCAAATAAAAGAAGTCAAGGTAAGGATAAATGAAACGCGACGTTATTACAACTAGCGCTTTGGACTCACTTCCCGCCAAGCAGATTTTTAGCGACTCTTTCTGACTAGGCCTAGAAGCAACACTCAAAACCTGCCCCCGCCCGAATCAGTGGGTAGGGGACYGAGAGGTGTATCAGACTGCGGAACTTGCACTGATGTCTGTACAGGTCTCGGAACTTGGAGATGCGGGCTACTTGTCCTAGCCGCTTCACCGCGGGGCCGTACAGTCTCCATGGAGACCGCGAAGGAAACCTGGAGAACCGCTCTCCGGTCCAAAAGCCCGCCCTCAGGCAACACAAACCAATGGTCCAGCGGGTTAGAGAGAATAATATGATTGACAGTGGTATGGGGCGTGGTGAGGCGAATCTATCCAATCGAAGTTGAGCCAAGGCCCAAAACCGACCAGCACCGACCAATGGAAATGCGGAACTGAGGACAATGTGCCCACCCACTACACTTGGCGTTGCCTGGAGTCGCGGCAAGTGTAAGCTAATGAGAGGAAAGCTGGGCGTTGAAAGAGCAGCACTGATTAGCGAATCCGAAATCGCCTGAATGAAAGCCCACTTGTGATTCGTTCTAAGTAGATCAAAGCCTCGGCGGACTGGAACCTGCGGGACATTGAGGTATGAGTCGGGTCCGGGGAAGTGGGGTCACCCGGGAACCCAATGAGGAGAGCGGCMGTGAGGAAAGCCGGACAGATGCGGAGTAGCGAGAAGGATGGAGACTCCGGCTGCAGAGTCTGGAAAACAGTGTGGGCGGGCGGTGCGCGGACATCACAGACTACCCTTACCGCGGGTCTGGGCCCAAGACCCGGCGGCTAATAAATTCTTGATAGAATGCCGAGAAGGAGGGACTGTTTTCTGTATCATGCTCTTAAGAAAGTAAAATGTCAGTGCCTTCGTTTTCCTTTTGTCTGAAACCGTAATCCCTCTCCAACTGCTAGGAGATAGTCAGGTGAGCATTCTGATGAGACGTGCGGGCACTCTTTTCCTCTTGCCAGTTTGAATCAGCAGCCGGGCTGGGGAGAGTGGAGGAGCTCCTAGCAGCCCGGTGTTTCCCGGCTGCAGTGCTGGTAGCTGATGGGTGATGGAGCTAGCGGACTGAATCTCTGTCACTTTCAAAACGCAACCATGACCTGGAAAGGGGTGCAAGGACAGGATCAGAATCCATGGACGACCCCCCTCCCCCCCCCCCGCGCCGCCTTTCTAACAGTGTGTTAAGTAAGAGTGGACGTCACATCCGTGGCATTTAGGTAGCTTGACAATTGGTTTTTGTCCCGGACGTGCATGGGACTTAATAAAGCTGGAGGCGATATCTTAATATTTTAAAATTCAAATGATAAATATTTAAAGTAGAAAAATAAAAATGTGAAAGTCCTCTGATTATTTTTAAGTGTTTGGGACAAGCTGTAGAAAAAATTGAAAAGGATTCCTTCTGAAGGGCCATTCACTCCTGTAATCCATTGTTTTCTTCTGTTGCTTTTAAGGGCTTGAGTCCACGTGAAAATCGGGCAATGGGTGAGGTATCACCCATCACCAGCAGCTATTAAGCTTTATTACCCTCTACGGAGTCCATATTTGTCCTGGACAGTAAGTCATCTTATAATAGCCATTAGTATTCTCACTCAAGATTTTCAACTTAGTGCTGGGTGCTGTATTTTTAGTAAACTAGGGTCAGTCTCCACACTGYGTGCTTCTCTATCAGATTTCTCTGAAAGGGCATGTAGAACCAACCTTAGATAAATGACAAATACAAATACATCCAAAAGGGTTTGAAGAAACTTTCTTTAAAAAAAAAAAATATCTCACAGCATCAACATAGAGGGGAAAAAAATTGATCCTATATTCGGTCCCGTTGTCAGCTACCGAACAGTGTTCAAATTTAGCCCAGTGATATTGCTGGACTTATGGTGTATACCTGTAGTCCTAGCAACTCAGGAGGTTGAGGCAAGAGGATCCACAAGTTCAAGGCCAGCCTGGGCATTGTAAGGTCAAGGCTTCATGTCTCAAAATAAAATATAATGGGCTGGGGATATATAGCTCAGTGGTAGAGTGCTTGTGTGTGGAGGACCTAGGTTCAACCCCCATTACTGCAAAATAAATGAATACATAAGTACATGCTACATTTATTAAGTAAATGGACTTACTCTTGAAATCAGGGTGACTAAACCATCAATTCTCCAAGATTTGAAGAAGTCCTGAATATTCAATAAAAACTTTACTTTTTATCATATCTGACTCAAAAATAATAATTTAACTATTCCAATAGAGGAAATGAGCAAAAGTATTATTCTCATATTGAATTAACAAAGTGAAATGCTTAGATGTTCATTTCTCTACAACATCTTTCTTTAGTATACCCAGCTCCTTCCTTTCTACATATGGTAAGAAAATGTGCAGTTTGGTTATAAAGTCATGAACCCCATTCTCAGAAATAGCTAATTCTAGTATTAATATTTATCTCATACTTGAAAGCTGTAACCCAGTGTCTGTAGAACCCAGTGTCTCCTGAGTTTTTAAGTTTCTGTGGGATATTAAAGGGATATGTTTCAAATGATTCAGTTTTAACTACCATTATCCTATATTCTAAGATGTTAGAGTTGGTCTAGGTCTTACAGGTTATTGTGCAGTATCATAAAGAGCACCAATTAACCTTAAGTAGTTATTTTCTTAGAGGTATCAGCCCAATCAACCAAACTCAGAAATATGAGTAATTTCTAAAACCTTCTCCTTAGATTTTCTATTTCCACAACCAAGGAAAGCTTATATCCTCATCATCTCTCTTTGTACTCTGTCATCAGTTAACTTTTTAAAACTAAACTTGAGAATATTACATTTGATAGTATATCAAATACCTGTGTTCCAGATTAATAAATATTCACTTTCTGGCTTATCTATTTAAGCTTTTAATTTTAAAGAAATAAAAACCTCATAGATCTAGTTTAGATCACTTTTCTTTCCTTTCCTCTGCTCTTTCCTTCCTTTCCCCAGAGAGGCAAATACTCTCCTGAAATTATATCATTAATGCTCATGTTTTTATGCTTTTGCTGTATATATGTACATCCTAAGCAATATGTATTATTAAAGTTTATTTTAATTTTAAACTACAAATAGTATATTGTGGATTTCATTTGCAATTTTTATCACTCAACATTGGTTTTTAGTTATATTTATAGCAGTACATATAGATCAAGTTCATTCATTTGAAGTGTTCATTATGAATATAAAATATTGTATTCATTTCCTTATTGATGAACATTTCAAGGTGTTTTTTTTTTTTTCCTGTTGTTATGCTATCAAGAATAAAGTCGTAGTGATGACCCAAGAATTTTTCCAGAACACTAGTTCTTCATGGAGGTGGTACTGCCTTGGATTGGGGGTATTTTGGGATTTGTGTAGACATATTTAGTTATTATCATTGGAAGGAAGTATTGGAATTTACCTAGCAGGGCTGGGGATGCAAGGTGTTCCATAATGCACGGGATAGTTATCAGGTAAAGAATTGTCCTCCATCCTATACTACTTTTCCTCAGGGTATTCGATTCTAATTATCTGGGCCCAGAACCTAACTCTATTTTTCATATTAACATAATGTATTTTTTGGCAAGTTTAATATAGTAAAATTTCCAGGAATGAAACTCTAATGTAAATCAAGGGAAAATTATACTAATTTGTGGTTTGGAACTTTAACAAGAGTTGTTCCTCACTCTAGAAAAATCACATAACTAAAGGCAGCACAGCTCGTGGTATTTGAGTTGCCAGCACAACACACCTGCATAGTCTGCATTTGTAGCTTTTGCGTTCATGGTGATTCTAAGTTTAGGTGCGAGCATCTGACTACTGTACTTCATTATGTATTCTAGTGTAGTCAGCCTGAACATTCATATTTTTAAACATATGCTATTTCATTATGAATTAGTTCCATTTAAAATTGGCTTCTGTATATGATATAATGTAGAGGTCTAGTTTTATTATTTTCCGGTTGGATAATCATTTGTCCCACCACCAGCTATGAAATCCTTTACCCACTGAATCGCAGAGCCAACTCCTTCCTGCATGAAGTTCTGACAAATGCATGGATCTGTTTCTAGGTTCTCAATTTCATGCCGCTGGTCCATGTGTCTTTGTGCCACTATCACACTGTTTTAATTACCTTGGTTTTATAATGTGTCTTGTGGCAGTTGGTAACAAGAAAGGCAAGTTGCCATTCTACTTCTCAAAATTGTTCTGGCTATTCTTGGGTTTTTACTCATATGAATTTAGGATTCATTTTCAAGTTCTACAAAAATTATTTTTAGATTTTGGTTAGAATTGCATTAAATGTATAGGTTAAAGAAAATTGAAATCTTTGAATTGAACCATCTAGCAACATGGGTTATTTTTTTATTCAGGGCTACTTTATTTCTCTGTCCAGGTGCTTCTTAGAAAACGATCTTTAATAAGATTTTATAATTTTAACTACAATAATCTTACAAATCTTTTGTTACATTTATTCACACTTACATACATATACATACACATATCTTTCTAGTGTGAAGGTTTCCAATATATTCAAAAGTATAAAAATAGTATAGCCAACATCAACACTCTCTTCACCCAGTTTCAACAACTAGCTCACAACCAGTCTTACTTCATGTTAGCTACTTCACTTCCCCTCCCCCAGAGAATATGAAGCTCCTAGTCACATTTTCTATTCTCTGATGTGTTACATGTATATATGTGTATATCCTAAAGAGCCTTCAATATCTTTTATTTTTTAAGAGAGAGAGAGAATTTTAATATTTATTTCTTAATTTTCAGCGGACACAACATCTTTGYTTGTATGTGGTGCTGAGGATCGAACCTGGGCCGCACGCATGCCAGGCGAGCGTGCTACCGCTTGAGCCACATCCCCAGCCCAATAGCTTTTTTTTTTTTTTTAATTCACTTAAAAAAAAACATAATTCCCTAATATCATCAAATATCCAKATACTGTTGAAATTTCTCCAGTCATCTTTTAAAAGGTTTTCTTTTTCATACTGGCTTTTTTGAATCAAGACCCAAACAGAGTCCATATATTACATTTGATTGATATGTCTCTTAAGATTCTTCAAAAGAAACCTTTTAGTGAAGTATTACACACAATACAGAAAAGTGTACACATCTTAAATGTATAGCTAGGTACAGTTTACCAAAATGAGTGAATCCAGGTAACCCACACCCAGATCAATAAACAAATTTTTATCAGCACTCCAGAACCTCTTTCAGCTCCCTCCAGTCACTACTTTCTGAATGGAAAACATACTCTTTGACTTCTAACCTCCCAAAGTAGTTTGAACTTTTTTTGAACATTATATAAATGGAATCAAACAGTATAAACTTTTTTGCCTCTGTTATTTTACACTTAGTATTTGTGAAATTCATCCAAGTTCATTCTATTGCTTTATTCTATTGAATTGTTATGAAAGAATTATGAAACATATTTATCCTTTGTATTGGTGGACATGTGGGTTGTTTCTTTTTTCAGCTATTTCAAATAGGGTTGGAATGAACTTCTTGTACATGGGTTTTGAACTTCTGTGTGCATCTCTGTTAGAATACAACTGGGAATAGAAGAGCTGGATCTGGGGGACATGAATTTTCAGTTTTGATCGATACTGTCAGTAGTCTCCAGAGCAGTTATAACAATTTATACTCTTACCACGGTGTTTGAGGGTTCCAATTAATCTACATCTTTACTAACACTTATGTTGTCTGTCATTTTCATTTCAGCCATTCTTGCAGGTATGTAGGAGTAATGAATTTTGGTTTTTATTTGCAATTTCCTGATGAATAATGAAGTTGAACTGCTTCTCACATATTGGTCATTTGGATAACCTCTTTGTCAAGTGTTTATTTTTATTTTTTATCTGCTTGATCTGTTAGATTCTAAGATAGTTACATTAAAATCTTCCACTARGGGCTGGGGATGTGGCTCAAGCAGTAGCGCACTCGCCTAGTGTGCGTGCGGCCCGGGTTCGATCCTCAGCACCACATACAAAAAACGAAGATGTTGTGTCCGCCGAGAACTAAGAAAAATAAATTAATGTTAAAAATTCTCTCTCTCTCTGTGTCCCTCTCTCTCTCTCACTCTCTCTTTAAAAAAAAAAAATCTTCCACTAAATTTGTGGCTTTGTTTATTGTAATGTTATGTCATTTATGTTAGGTTCATATTTATGTCATTTATGTCACTTATGTTAGGTTCATATTTATTTCAAGTTGTGTCTTTTTGCCAAATTATTCCTTTTGTGATTCTTCTTTTTTTTTTTTAAATACTTTTAGTTGTATATGGACACAATACTTGTATTTTTTATATGATGCTGAGAATTGAACCCAGTGCCTCACATATGCTAGGCAAGCTTTCTACCACTGAGCTACAAACCCAGCGTGTGATTATTATTATTATTAATATTTTTCAAGCTTAACACATATCCTTGATACTAATATTGCTTTACCAACTTATATTTTTGTTTCACTTGTTTTTCCAAATTGTGATTTAAAGCACATAACATAAAATTTACCATATTAACCATTTTTATATGTACAGTTCATTAGTGTAGTATATTTACATTATCATGAAACAGATCTCCAGAAATTTTTCATCTTGTAAAAGTAGAACTCTACACCTATTAAACATTTCCCAATACACTTTCCCCCTAGTATTGTTTTGTTAGTGTTTCTTTTCAGTCTCTTTATTTTGAACCTCTCTTTCTTTATGCTTTTTGTGTAGCTTTTATAAAGAGATGTTTTTTATTTTTTTAAATATAGCATGAGAATCCTTTAATAATCAAGTATAATTAATATAATTAATATGTTTGTATTTACTATGCTTTTTGTTGTAATTTTCAGTTTTATCTTATATTTTTAAATTTTCCTTCCTTTTTACCCCTTGCCATCACCCCCTCTTGTTTTCTTCCTTTATTATTTTTTTTTCACTCGTGTGGAAGTTGTTCATTCTCTTTCTGTTATTTAGTATGTGCCTATGTGTCTTCAAATATCTATCTTTTGCTTAGTAAAACTTAACTAATCATTAACTCCTCCTTCAGAGCAAGTAATATATATTGACTGCTTTTACTTTGAACTATTCTTTCTCACCTTCCATATAACTGTTGAGTAATATCTTCGTTTTCTCATTTTTAACCCCTTGAAAATTAGTCGTCATTATCATTGCAGGAATATTTATAGTCAATTTTTGCTAATGTCTTTCTCACCATTTTTCCTTATATCTTTTTTGGTTCATTTTCCTTTTTGTTGGAGTACATTCCTAAGTAGCTCTTTCAGTGAGGATCTGTGTGTCGCATTCCTGCGACTTAAACCCTCAAACCTGCCCACCCAGGGACACTACCTGTCGTGATCCATGTGACTAAAACACTCAGGGTTCACTTAAGGGGAACTGGGCTGTGCAAAATAACCACACAAGACAGAAATACCTTTTTCTTTGGGGGTGCTGTGACAGCTCCTCTGACCTTAAGTGTCCATAGAGCGAGCGAGCGAGGGAGCGAGCGAGCGCGTGCTAACCCCTTTATTTTAGGAGAAGCCATTCAAATGAAGCAAGGGGGTCAGGCTTCAGGGAGTTGAGTCTAGCTTCATGATGTCTGCTGTCAGCAGGTTGATTGACATCTAGGAAGGCCACACCYAAGGGGGTGATGGCAAGAGTAAGAGAAGGGGACACATAAAAGGGCATTTTCATGGAACATTCTATCCCAAACTAGACAAGGGGTAATATCACAAAGGAACAGGTGAGCGTAGCTCAACCCATGGGGCTAGTAGGAAAGCACRCCCATGCACAAAGACACATTTGCGTTGTCTCTACCTTCAAGATTGGGGCTATCATCTTCCCTTACTTAAAAGCAACCAGATCACGGGGTGACCTACAGTGCCTCAGCCAACCAGGAAGGGAAGCAAACACTAGTTACATGCTATGTCAGCCTCCCACAAGGTGAATTTCAGTCTTTTTATGTCTGAAAACCTCATTAAATCCACTCTTGAGTCTTATATGCACATCTGTGGTGGCATCCTAATAGATGATCTCAGCTGGGATCCTTTAGGTACCTTACTTTTAGTCTAGTTTTTATGTTAATCTTTTCTACTGAGATTCCCATACCACATTAGTATTGTACTTGAACTCTATATTTAAATGCAGGTAAGGATTCAGATTTCTCTTGGGCTAGTCTTTTTCACTTGTGSCCTGAGTCACTTGTCTAGATTTCTTTGAAATCATTAGCAATTTTTCAGACCATATTTCAAAAACCATTAGCTCTTTGAGGGCCCAGCATGATATATTGTTCTTAGTTCTAGTTCTCTGCATCATGGGCCTGAGATCTCATCTGGCCAGGACAGGACCACTCTGAAGGCCTGTATCTGCTGCCAGCACCCCTGTAGGACTCAGTGCTCAGTCCTCACTAATCACTCAGGCTTTGAGTTATATTTTTTTATTTAGGGTACTTAAGGATTTTCCTTCATTGCTTTGTGTATTTGTTAAATTCTTTTTAATTTGTCTTATTGAGCATTTCCACGTGTTCACTGTTGTTCCCTTTGTTAGTACTGTCCAGTGCATGGACCAGAAGTTATCTGGTCATCCTTCTAAACCTTGAGATGACCTTATTACTCCCTCACTTGATTTTCAGATTTGTTAGCACTGCTTTATTTATTCATCAAACAAATTTATTCCGTATAACCTCTGAGCTACAAACTGGGGATACCAGGTGAAAAAGATAAAGTTTCTGCCTTCGTGAATTTATTATTCTAGTTGGAGAGACAAAAAATAAACTTGTAAGAAAATGAATAAATAAGTTAACCAAGTGGAGTGGTACATGCCTGTAATCCCAGCGACTGGAGGCTGGGACAGGAAGATTGTGAGTTCAAAGCCAGCCTCAACAACTTAGTAAGACCCTGTCTCAAAATAAAAAGGGCCAGGAATGTGGCTCAGTATGGGTTCAGTCCCCAGTACCTCCCCACATAGAGAAAAAATTAACTAMAATTAATGACAAGTACTCTGAAGGAACTAGGGAGATGAAAAATCACTGTTTGGGAGGATTACTTTAGACAAGGTAATCGGGGAAGACCTCTCAGAGGAAGTGCTATTCCTTCTCTGAGGAAGCCAAGATGGGAACCATGAAGAGAGTCTAGCCCTACAAATAGTAGAGGGATTATTGGGGATTGAGGGTTAGTTACAGGCTTTAGAAATAGCCAAGTACAAAGACATAGAGATGGGGAAACACTGGCTTGCTGGAGTAGTTGGGACAACATCCATGAGGTGCCTAGGAGGGGCATAATGCTCCCCAGTGAGGTTAGAGAGGCCTGTCCCCTTACTCCTCATCTTGCCTCACTGATTCTTTCCAGAGAGTTCCTGTGCAAGGTCCCTCCGTTGTAACCCTTTGTAACCCTTCTCAATATCCCAGTTCCTGCTGCACTTTGCTACTTAACAAAATGTAACATGGGCAGTTGTTTATGTGATGGTATTCTCCAATAGACCTAAAGCTTCTGCTGGGAGAGATTTCTCACCTACCTTTGTCATCCCCAGCTTGTAGAATGGTGCTTTACATGGTAGGGACATCATGAATGTTGATTGAATTACTGTGTTTTAAAAGTAGTTCATGATTAGAGCTTCTTTTCCAATAACTTTTTAACAAAACCTCTCATAGATAAATTTTTGTGACATTTAGATATCAGGTAAAGAAAACCAGCAAGCTAAGGAAGAATCTGTTGCTTAAGACTTGTCTCTGGTACTGGAAAGAAAATCAGGGCAAGTATGGTAGTATGGTGTTGACCTGTAGTGGGTTGATTGGTAGCCCCCCAAAGTTATGTCCACAGCCTAAATATATGAATGTGAACCTATTTGACTAAAGTGTTTTTGTAGATGTAATTAAGTTAAGGAGCTTTGATAAAATCATACTAGACTACTTGAGTGGTCCTGAAGTTCAGTGAAGATGCCCTTATAATGAGCAGCCAGAAGAAGACAAGAGACAGAGAAGGCCACGTGAAGACAGGAACAGAGACTAGAGTTGTGAGTCACAAGCCAAGGAACATGTGGAGCCACCGGAAGCTGGAAGAGGCCTGGAAGGATCCTCCTCTAAATCCTTTATTAGGAGTGTGGACTTACTGATGCCTTTATTTTTTACTTTTCATCTCAAGAACAGCGAGAGAACGAATTTCTCTTGTTGTAAGGCACTAATTAGCAAAACAGCACATCCCCCTTTGCAGTTATACTGCACTGACTCCTTCTGAGACATGGACATATAATACTTCCCTCCAAAGCTTATTGCCATGATTAAATGAGATACATTTGTAAAGTACTATGCACATAGTAAATGTTCAGAAGTAGTGATGGTGGTTGTTCTTTAAGGACTGGAAATTTTCTTCCTTTTGCAAATAAGCACTCAACAGTAGAGTGGAAATTTCTGTCTCATGATTGCCTGGTGAGTCAAAGTTCATCCCATGATTTTAACCTAAGAGCTTCAACTTCTGCTTTGGCCCTGGAACTCGCAGGCCCTTCTGCCTTTAACAGACCTTAGTTAGGATATTATAGCAAGGGAGAGTTTAGTGTTCTACTGTGGCTTGGGGAAGAAGTTAAAGTAGAATTCAGAGACCAAATTTAAAATTACACACATGGAGCAGAAAAGCCATAAAGAAAGGCTTTGGGTTCTAAATTTCTAGTTCCCATTAAGGGACTCTGGGACTGGACATTCTTGAAAATTAAAGACCTGTAGTGAGTGATCCTACACACCAATCATCAAAAACTTCCCCATAATGAGGTCAGGCTTTCTGTATTTGTCTAAATGCTAGAAGTGGGTGTGGGTAGGGGTCCCAGACAGAGTGAAGGCTGATGATGTCTTCCTCCCCAGGATGGCTGGCACGGTGCTCGGAGTGGGTGCTGGCGTGTTCATCTTAGCCCTGCTCTGGGTGTTGGTGCTGCTGCTGTGTGTGCTGTTATCCAGAGCCTCCGGGATAGCTAGGTAAGGCATTCTTTCCAGCTGGGAGTCCTAGGTAAAAGCAATTAGAGGCAAAATCGCTGACGCTCATTAAACATTTAGAATTCAGAAGATCATTTTTGTAATTACTGGCAGTTTGAATGAGTTGCATTTTAACCTCTTATCATAAGCACTAACTGTGTTATTTATGCTCTGAGGCAGAGGTGGGAGGAGAAGGGAAGTGTATTTTTCAGTTCTTACTATGGAGGAGATCAGGGAAGACAAGAGATGACAAGAAAATCTGCTTTCACTGCCTATTGAATCTCTTGGGGTTGAATGTGGGAGTTTTTCTTAATTGTTCAGATTTATGGCACTTGCTTGGTCCAGTCTCTAAGGCTCTAGGCCTGACCCAGGGAAACGAAAGAAGCCTTCAGTGGGTTTAACTGGCCTTCTGCACCTGGCATTGACTTGGAACAGAGTTAGGCTACTAACGGAACCTGAAAATAGAGTTCCACTCTGGACACTCCATTTTAGTGTCAGTAGGAAGCAGAGAATTAAGAATTTGCTAAAGTATCCTAAGTGGGAATGGGGAGGGACTGCTTTGTTGTGTTTTCTTAATGACTTCATGCAGAAGCACAAATGAAAACTATGAATTCCCGCTGTTAGGAATTTCCCAGAATAAAGGGGAATGCATACAGCTGGTACCCGTCTAGGAAGAAAGACTTTGGGATGGAGGCTGGTTGTGGACACAGCAGGTCTCTGGACTCTGTTAAGGAACTGAAACATAGAATATTGACCCCAAGGAAAGGCCAGTCTGGCCCTCATAAAAGAAAAAACGGTGCTTTTAATATTTTCTCTTTTTGGTCCCAGGTTCTCTGTCATTTTTGTATTCCTTGGTGCTGTGATCATCACGTCTGTTCTATTACTTTTTCCCCGAGCCAGTGAATTTCCAGCCCCAGAGGTCGAAACGAAGGTAAAGCTGTTGGTTTCATTTTGTCCTCTGGTCCAAACCATCATCCTGCCCTGTGACCTGAGATGTGTTAGAATTGCAGTGTTCAGGCAACGATGGAAAAGCTCAGAGGGAATTTTAAGACCCTCTACGCCTTCACTCAAGAAAAGAATCTTCTGAATTCCATCTGCAACACTTCTAGGCAGAGGTTTGCCTGAGATGTTCTCTTCTCCAACTTGCATCAAGTTGAATAACATTGTGTTGTAAGGCCACCTTCTACTGTGGGGACAGAGAAAGAGAAAAGAGTTAGAAATGGGAGTAGTCCTGCTCCCAAAGTGAGGTCCCATTTCAGGTAGCCTTGGCTCACATCCTCATATCTTGGGTTGAAATTGATGTAGTACCATCAGGGTGCTGAGCAACATGAATTTCCATCTCCATCTAGTATGCCTTTTCCACTCATAATGTGGAGAGAATCATTTCCATAGAGAAGTGGGGAAAGAGGAACATTTCTGTGGAAAGCAGAAATGGAAGATATAAATTAATTCAATACTAACAATTTCATTGGTCTACATATGCCAGCTTCCACCTCTGTAAATGGATTCTTATCACCTCTCTATACTTCTTTGCTGGAGATCTCACCCATTCCTGAATGAATGGGGTGCTGGTTTAACCATGCACAACTGGTCTCAAACCCCATAGGAACCTGATAAGGTTATTGACTTCATTTGTTCCATTGCTTCTTCTAATAGCTTCTTTTTTCTCAACCTCTATTTTAATTTTTAAACAGTAATGATGATAATAGCTAACATTTATTAAAGGATTACTGTGTGCTRGGTCCTATGTAAGCATGTTTATACTGTCTCATTTAAACTTCAGGCCAACCTAACTAGTACAAAGTAGGTACTATTACTGTCCTCATTTTATAGGTGAGGACACAGGAGTTGTAGAGGTTAAGGTAACTTGCCCAAATTCATACATATACATTAAGAAGCAGAGCAAAGATTCAAGCTGAGGTCTACCTTCAAAATCTTCATTGTTGGGATTCAGCAGAATATCAGGGGCCAGCCCAGAGAATACACAGGTTACCAATTTGATWCTAAACAACAGTACACAGACTTTTGGACTATAGTGAACACATACTTCCAACCTTATATAGAATTAAACCTTGACAAAAGGAAGGAAATTAGTTTCAAAAACTCCAAGGGAATAATACCACACAAATTCAAGGAATTATTTTCATTAATTCCAGGTCTTTTGTTTACATTTGGAAACCACTCTGAAGGTAGAAGTACTGTGTGTGTGAGCCAGGGGTAAATTCTTACCTCAGTGTCCTTACTTAGAGGAGAGAGTGATAAGATTTCTGTGTCGCTACAGAAGTGACTATTAGAAGAAGGCAATAGAGTAAACACTGTTGAAATCTTTTCTGTCATATGAGTTTCAGACTCAGGACAGAATGGGGTTTGARCAAAATGTGTTTGTCAGCATAGCCAGCAGAATGGAGTTCTCATTTTCAGGTCTTGAGAGCTGGCCCCTGCAGCAGCCAAGCTCAATACTGTATCAATAATACATGGCCTGGGCCTTCTGCACCCAAGGCCTGCTAATTGGCTAATTAAAAAGTGAAACAGTCGAACGAGCAAACATGTAGCCCGCAAGAGACTTGTTCAGTAACAGAGCCAAGGTCAAAGTTATGTTAAAGCTGTTTTATCAAACTGACCTTTGTTATAAGTTGACTGTTGGGGTAATCTCTGGAGCAGCTGGGGTGTCTGAGTCTTCTTCTTTTTGGTGTCTTTGGATCTCAGCAATCATACCAGAGCTTGGATTTTGACAGGTGCTTTGAATATCAGCACTGTATTAGTTTCCTATCGCTGCTGTAACAAGTTACTATAACCATAGGAGCCCACAACATAAATTTATCATCTTACAGTTCTGTAGGTTAGAAGTCCAAAATCAGTCTCACTGGGCTAAATAAAATCCAGGGTTCAGCAGGGCTGCATTTCTTTCTAGAGATTTTAGGGGACAGTCTATTTCCTGGCCTTTTCCTGCTTCTGGAGGTTTCCTCTGGCCCTTAGCTGGTCGCCTCCTTCCTTTATCTTTTTTTTTGGGGGGGGGCGGGTGTCCTGGGGATTGAACTCTGGGCACTCAACCACTGAGCCATATCCCAGCTCTATTTTTTTGTATTTTATTTAGAGACAAGGTCTCACTGAGTTTTGCTGAGGCTGGCTTTGAACTTGTGATCCTCCTGTTTCAGCCTCCTGAGATACAGGCATGTGCCACTGCACCAACTTCTTCCTCTATCTTCAAAGCCAACAATAAACATCTCTCTGACATTGCTTCCATCCTCACACCTCTTTCCCTGACCCTCTTTCCTGCTTCCCCTTCTAACTTTCAAGGGCCCTTGTGATGACATTGGGCCCACCTGGGTAATGCAGATAACCCTGTTTTCAGGTTCATTTGGTTAGTAACCTCAATTCTCCTTTGTCATGTAATCTAACATATTCAAAGCTTCTAGGGATTGGGATGTGGACATCTTCAGACCTTTTTTTTTTTTTTTTTTTTTTTGCCTATGACAATCACTGTTTGGATATTTTGGGTTCTCTCCTAGATATGAGTTTTCAAGGCTTCTGTGAAGTCAATCACTGCTGTCATAAAATCTATACATTAAATAGGTCTTTTTCTGCCTAAATTTAATTACCGCCATTTGGCGCTGGGAAAATTGGGGCTCTGGTAGTACATAGCACAACAGTGAATAGAGCCAACATCGGTTATAGCTATTTTATTTTTATTCTTTTAGTATTGAGGACTGAATCCAGGACCTCCTGCATGCTAGGCAAGCACTTCACCTACAGCCCCAAATGCCCCCACCTTTTTAAAAATTTTGAGACAGTCCACACTTATACTTGCAGTCCTCCTGCCTCAGTCTCCTGAGTAGCTCGGATTTATAGGTGTGTGCCACCACACCCAGCAGTTACAGATTTTTGTCAACAAAGACCAGGAACACTGGGGCCTCAAGGACTGGTAACATGGGTGAGACCCTTGGTTCAATCCCCAGTACCACAAAAGAAAAGAAGAAAAAGGAAAGCAGAATAAGAAAGAAAGAATTGGGGCCTCAGGTATGACAGGTTACCAGGCAGCCAAATGTATGATGGAGCAAGTTACTTATGTTCTTAATGTTTTATCTTAGGCAAATGGCCATTTGCCTTCTCCACTGAGAAACTAAATGTTAGGGTTCAGAACTCATCTGATGAAAACTTTGAAGAGTCACCTTTTTATTTGAAAATGAACCCCTCTGAAAGCTGTAGGTTGATGGCTGGATCATATATATATATATAAACATGGTGTATACACCATGTTTTTGTTGTTGTTGTTTTGTTTTGTAGTTGTAGATGGACAGAATGCCTTAGTTTTATTTGTTTCTTTTTATATGGTACTTAGGATCAAACCCAGTGTCTAACATGTGCTAGGCAAGTGTTCTGCCACTAAGCTACAGCCCCAGCTCTACACCAAAATTTTATACTATTGTATTTTAATATAAGTTCCAAATTCTCCATAATAAAATATGTTTTAACAACAACAACAACAACAAAATGATTCTTTCTAGACCAAGCTAACTTCTCATTAACTCTTTGGGATAACTGGTTCCAATGATCTATTTATAGAGGGAACTCAGTTACAAATATGAATGAACAACTGCTGATGAACTTATTATAGATTTTGGATCAACACAGCCAGGATGCTGAAGGGTAATAATTTCACTTTGGTGTTTTCTTTCTCCAGATTGTGGATGCCTTTTTCATTGGGCGCTATGTCCTGCTGGCTTTCCTCAGCGCTGTCTTCCTTGGAGGTCTCTTCTTGGTTCTAACTCATCATATCCTGGAACCAATCTATGCCAAACCACTGCGGTCCTATTGAGCATTGTTGGGGAAAACCAAGACCTTGTTCTCCTCTGCTCCATTTTTATGTCATTGATGAGCAACAAGGGACTTCAGAGCCTTATTTTGACAGTCTTCCTATCTGAAGGCAGAGGAATATACCTTCATCACTAAGACAAATCTCTTGAGCTCTGGCTTCCAGAAACAGAGTTGCAAAATTGTCCCCATGGGCATCAATTCTCACCATTTTAGGAGGGCTGCTACTGTCTTCTTAGTACCTGCACTTAGGAATTTCATCTGTTTTGAAAGGGAAATAGTAATAATAATCTTAGAGTAGATTTTCAGTCATGCTATTTATAAGTGGACTTGGGGGGAAGGATAAGCCCTTTTTGATAATATGTGAAATTCTTAGTTATAAATTATTATCATAGCTGGGTGTGGTGACACATGTAATCCCAGCTACTCAAGATGCTGAAGCAGGAGAATTGCAAGTTTGAGGCCAACCTGAGCAACTTAGTGAGACCCTGTCTCAAAAATTTTCAAGAAAGGCTGGGAGTATAACTCAGTGATAGAGTGCTCTTGGGTTCAGTTCCCAATACCAAAAAAGAAAAAAAAAAGTTGTAGTTATTTGCAAAGTAAAAGCACTTAAACACAGAGGTTACTTTAATGTGATAATTTGGAAGACTAATTTAGATGTTGGTTATTGACCACCCTATGCATATAATGTCACAGAAGCCTATAAAAGCAATGGGTATTACTTTCCTCTGCTCTAATAAAGCAATAAACAACCACCAAGGGGCTGACTTTCACTTCAAACTCTTGGCCATGTAGTGAAGCATTTGTATTTTATTTTCAATCTGTAAGGTAGTATTTTTATATTTCAAACTTGTTTGGAAATTAGAGGACAGGTAGGGAAATGTTGGTAGACTGTACTCCTGCCATATATCTATAGGTTCTTTTCCAGGATATGGTCCCTCTGTGTGCTTTAACATTATCTTAACAGGCCATTTTAGGTTGTGGTACTCTCTCCCCATCTTTGTAACTCTTTCTTCAACCCTAATCAGGAACATATATTATCAGCATTAGATTATAACTTTATACGTGCCTGATCTCCCTGACCAAGTAAAATTTGTGCTTAATTGGAGGGTCACTTTAGGAAGTGTCATCCTGACACCCTAGATCTGTTTAGAAAATGGTCTTCTGGCTTAAAATGAAGACCCAAGAGAACAAGTTGGAAAGATTGATTAGGTATGTGTTATATGCCAGTAGTCTGCTAATACCTTTGAAGTTTATTTAAGTTTTACAACAATCTGTCATCATCACCCCCTACTTTTTGTTGTTGTTGTACTGGGGATTGAATCCAGGGGTGTTCTACCACTGAGCTACGTCTCCAATTCTTTTTTTTTTTTTTAATTTTATTTTAAGACAGGTTCTTAGTAAATTGCTGAGACTGGCCTTGAACTTGTGATCCTCCCTCCTCAGCTTCCAGAGTTACTAGAATTACAGGCATGCATTACCATGCCCAGCCATCCCCATTTTAAAGTAGAAAAAAATCTAAAGCTTAAAGAGACTAACTGACTCATTTGAGCTTCACACAACATCCAGTGTGCAAACCCAGGTGTGGCAGACTCCTAGGCCTGTTTGCAGCAAAGTCAAGCCCACACAAGAGGAACATTGACTGCTCCATTTGCCACCTTCTCTTTGTGTGTGTGTGTGCAAAGTGTATTTCAGCTCGGCCTGCCTTCTGTAGTCTGTAATTGCCAGCYATGGTGAAATGAATGATACATTACTTTCTCCCTGCATACCCAAGGTATTCATGTCTAACCCTAAAAACAAAACAAAATAAAAAACCACCACAGGTTTAGTCTCAGAAGTGGAAGGCTGAGAGCGCACAATGAATTTCAGGCTTTAGCATTGGGGTGCCCCTATCATCAGTGTCTCATATGGCACCCCTTATATTCATGGCCTCCTGGAAGCAGGGCTCAGAGCTCATCCCTTAAATACCAAAAGAAATCATTTTTAGTGTTCATTAACAGGTCTCTGATCAGTGGCCTTAGGGCAGGTTATGCTGTTCTGGTCTCTGTCCAGAGACCGCAGTGATTCCCCACTGTTTGGAAGGTGGTAAGGGAGAGAAAACAGGTTATTTCATAGCCTTTCAGAATTGAATCCTGACAAGTTTTAAGAGTTTAAACACTAAATCAAACTGCCTGACTTCAAATCCCGATTCCTGGTTATTCCTGAATGATCTTGAGCCTCATCAGTCTGTGCCTGTTCCCCACTTGTGAAATGGGGACATTTAAGAGGACCTACTCATAGGGCTGATACATGATGACATAAGTTAGTACTTACAATGCACTTAGAAAAATGCCTAGCACATTTACTAATCTAATAAAAATTGTGATTTCTACATTCAAATGCACTTGTTTCCATATTGTCCATGACACCACTGTGCTCCTACAGTAGAGATGTTTGTTCATTCCATTAGGTGGCGCTGTGTGTTGTTTTAGAAGTTTCTCAAGCCAGAAAAACACACTGGGTAATTACTTAAGTTCCTTAAACTTGTCCCTTATAAAAATGGAAGTAAAGCTAGCACTCTTTTGATACAGGGTATCAGATGTTTAATGTTAAGACTGCATCAGCAGTACTGTATTGCTATTCAGGGACTAGGCACAACCATTCCTTCACACCACACATATTGCCATTGGTCAACACTGATCCAACGCCTGTTGGGCATAAAGTAGTGGTCCTGGTGGAGTAATTCAATCAAAGSACCAGCTCTGAGGTGTTTGGGCTGTTTTCCTAACTTGATCTCAGCATGGAGGTATTCCAGTTATTTTTAAATGTTTTAATTCTAACAAAGTAATCCATTTCTTTTTGTTCTTTAAGACATTGACTTTGCTATCACTCTACTTCATTGCTGCTATAGTGAAGCATTTGTATTTTATTTTCAATCTGTAAAGAACCTGCTGCTGTTACTTTACAGATGAGAAACAGGCAAAGAGGAAAAAGGATTTTAAACGTTTCGCAGCTAGTTAGTAGTGGCACTCAAACTTGACACACTAGCCCAACCTCCCACTGGGTTCCTAACAATTCATTTCTCATTTTAAAGATCATTTTTGGCTTTCAAACAACTCCTTATTTTTACACTGGTTGATACTATAGTTATCTGTACCTGCCATTTCCYTAAATCATGTCCAAAGGTTAAAAGTTCCATTAAAGAATGCTAATTAACATTGATAGTATAAATAACAAACATTTTATTTTAACTCCTTGGCTTAAGTCTTTAAGTGTTTGGCTGTTGTTGCATAGAAACAAATTTCCAGATGTGAGAATCGGAACCATATGGAAACAAATCTGGAAAAGTGTTGATTATTCTCATAGGAGCATAAAAATTCAGGACTGGAAGGGATTTTATAGTTCATAGAGTTCAACCTTTAATCTCTAGATCCATCCCAAATCTTGGAAATAAGTGCATTTGACATGCTGAAATCACATTTTTTATTAGATTAGTAAATGTGCTAGGCATTTATTCTAAGTGCATTGTAAGTACTAACTTATGTTATCATGTATCAGCCCTATGAGTAGGTCCTCTTAAATGTCCCCATTTCACAGGTGGGGAACAGGCACAGACTGGTGAGGAAGTTGGCTCAAGATCACTCAGGAGTAACCAGGAATCAGGATTTGAAGTCAGGCAGTTTGACTTAGTGTTTAAACTTTTAACTCCTTCCTATTATGCTATGTTGCTCCATAAAATGAGAACAGGAAAAGGAACCAGGGTCAGGCAATGCAAATCTACTTGATAAAAACACCAAGGAAAAGCAGCTGAGTGTGGTGGAAAATCCAGAATCTTAGGAGTTTGGCAACAGTCTGGGCAGAGCAGTTAAAAGACACATGGGACCTCAGAGACAACTTCACTGGTCAACCTTGCATTTTGGGAATGTCTCACTCTATTAGGCTGAGGCTTCCTCCTCGCTCAGAAATACTAAACAACTGAGCAGCTAGTAGATGAAGTTTTCAAGACGAATGTAAAGGACACTGTGCGTAAATGTTACATAGCCAAGCCCTCTGCTTGTTTTTAAGCTGGGGATTTCTTTTCTTTTTAATATTTATTTTTTTTTTTGTAGTTGGACACAATACCTTTATTTTATTTATTTATTTTTATGTGGTTCTGAGGATTGAACCCAGGGCCTTGAATGTGCTAGGCGAGCCCTCTACCGCTGAGCCACAACCCCAGCAAAGCTGGGGATTTCTTTTGTCTTCCTGTCTTTAAATTGATCATCTTCAATTTTATAAAGAATCTTCATTAGTTTCCTACTGCAGCTGTGACAGATTATCACAAACTCAATGATTTAAAATAGTACAAATTTATTATCTTATGGTTTTGGAGGTTAGAAGTTAGAAATGGGTTTCATGGAGCTAAAGACAAGACTTTGAAGACTCTAGGGGGGAAATACATTTCCCTGCCTTTTCCAGCTTCTCTAAGTTGCCCACATTCCCTGGCCATTGGATGCTTTCTCAGTCTTCAAAGCCAGCAGGATAACATCTTCCAGCTGACACTCCTGCTTCTCTCTCTGATTTATAAGGAGCCCTGGGGTTACATGGGCCCACCTAGCAAGGTGGGGTAGTGCCTCCACAATTTTTATCACATCTGTCAGGTAAAGTGACATATTTACTGGTTTTGGGAATTAGGATACAGACATCTCTTGTGGGGAGGGAACACATTCTATCTACCTACTATGGAATATATGTTCCCATCTTCCAGCTATCAGGAATGTCTCCTACGCTCCATTGGCCCTCTCCTCATTCCCACAACCTTATGTGCAAGGTCTGTTGTTTTATCCACTTCCTAGGGTTCTCTGCAGCCACTCTCTACACCTCAATCCCAGATCCCCATGGCATGTTGAGTTTCTCCTCCCAATTACTAGTCTTCATGGCAGCTTCATAATGCTAAGCTCTATTGAGAGCTTCTTTCCCTTTCTTTCCATTGCTTCTTACCTCCTCCTCCCCCAACACCCCTCCACCAACACTAGTCCCACACACACTAGCCAACCTCCCAATGGATCTCTAAAGGAGAAACGCAAAGAATTATTGCTTTTTAATTACAAGTGCTATTGTAGCATCTACGAGGAAGAACATTTTAAGCTTAATTGAGACCAAATGTGAAGTTAAATTAAATGAATAACTAATTAACGTAATGCTCCTGCATTAGCCCCGTGTGAGTGCAGAGGCCCAGAGAGAAGGCAGGTACCAGGCCTCTAGTGAACAGCCAATGCCCAGAGCTGAGGAGGGCGGGCAGCCTGGCCCTAATGGTGAGTGCCAAGGGGCAGATCTCAGCACTGTGGAACCCCCAGCTTTTGGAGCTTTCCCCAACTGTCTAGCCACAGCCCAAGCCCTCATTTCCAAGGCCATGCTCTGAGCCCCACAGTGTTTCTTGCTTCTCTCCAGTGCCAGACTTATCTGCTGAGAGGAGCTGATATGTCTTGTTCATTTCCCAGAGATCCTAGTACTGGAGCCTCCCTTCAGATCGCCTTAAGAGTTGTTGGCTAAACAGGCAGATGCTCAACTGATTCAGTTGCTGCAAATAGTGAGAGGTGGGCAGGAAGGGACAAGCTTAGAAACGTGACAGGTGGGCTGCCATTTTCTTTCTTCACTCCTTTGTCCTGTGGGAGTTTRGCCTTAGTAGAGCAGCATGGCATCCATTTATGACAGACACCAGTGCTATGCAGCAGATTGGGGAAGAGGATGGATGAGAGCAGAGGTGATAAAATGCTGCAAGTGGCAGCGGGAGGCTTGTGTCATTTATAAGCCCATTCATATCCCTTATATTATCCCTGATGAGACAAGTTCCTTAAGGGCATGATCTCCTTTCCACACCACTCCTATGAGGTAGGGAATGTTATTACCATTTTCTAGAAGAGGAAATAGGTGTAAAGCTAGTTAACAGTGAAGGAAGGGAAGAGAAGACCTCCGGAAGAGCCATATCCTCTCCCCTGACCATCACCCCCAGCATAGAGGGCCAGTAAGGAAACCTCTGCACTCTCCCTTCCAGGAAGCAGGGCCGCAACACCTGCCCACGCTGGGCTCTACCACAGGATTGTATCACCATCTAGTGGCTCTTAGAAGTAACACAGCTTCTCCTTAAGCCTATCCCGCCTAGGTGTTAAAGTCAGATAAATCTTTCCGGTCTTGTGAGAAATAATCATAAATTCTGAACATAAAGCCATATATCATAGGTCCTGCCCCTGTAGGCTCTGAAGACTTAGAGATCTCTGACTGACTCCTTCCAGAGCCAAAGTGTGTATCAAGCACATGAGACTCCCCTAGGTGTTACCATTATTTTAACCTGTGTATCCAGGGTACTGCACCAGCCCACCCAGTATCCCAGTAAATACAATGGCTGTATCTTCTATGAGGCTGGAGGCTTCCAGCATGTTCCGCAAGTCATCAATGTCATTAGCATGCCCTCCATGAATGCACACCAAATGTGTGCTCCTGGGACCCTAGTTCAACAAACCCTGTGAACCCTGCTTGCTGCTGCTGGGCCAGGACCTATCAAGGATTAACACAGCACAGCTGGCAAAGGAAATCTATATTAGTACTGATGGGTAGCTATAGAAGTCAGTCGAAAATGCCAGGAGTCAGCCTGGCATGTCACACCCAGGACCTGGTGTAGAAGCAGGCACATCAGAACACTGGATAGAAGGGGGCTGCTGACAGCTCCAAGCAACAGCACGTTAGCAGCTGCTCAAAAGAACCAGCARCACCCTCATTTCTTGTCATCCTGGTACTTGTGCTAGTGGTGAGAATCCTTCTCAACTGTGCATTGGCTACTTCATTCCTATGATAGAGCTGGTGTATAGTACGCATTCAGTACCCACTGGCATTCTCAAAGCGTGTACCACACATGCTAGGATTCTCAGTCGTGCCTCACCCCATCAGTTCCCATAACACTGACACTGATATAATTGTCCACTGAGCCATCATCAAGGGCTAAGGACCAGGGTGAGGCAAAGAGGCATTCAGCTGTCAGGATGGGCACACACACAAGCCCAAGAGTAAGTGCCCCCTTACTGAGGCAGCTCTCTTGCCCTACCATAGTCTTGGCCCTGGAAGAACAGCCATAAGCTTTAATCAAAATGGCCTAAGAAGTTATCAACAGGATCAAATGGGGGTAGAATAAGAGGACCCAACTTGGGTAAATACACAGAGAAGACTGATTTGTGGACAAAGAGACAAAGAGAGGCTGGGCACCTATGAACCGGGAGAGATGATTCCTACAGGAACTGGGTGATTACAGAAATGAGAATTGAACATGTGAAGAAGAGACACCTTTTCCAGGCCTTGGTCCTATAGTCTTTGCCTTCAGTCATGGAATCTGAATAAGCAGTAGTCTGCATGTCCTTCCCTCCTGCTCTGATCCCATCCCTTCTGCTTGCAGCTCTCAGAGCTCAGTCCTTGAGCCTTTTATGTCCTTGGCTTGGCAGTCCCTTCCCACAGAGAATTTTCTGTACCCTTAGCAGCTTCATGGGTTGGGCTAGGCTGGGCTGAGTCGGCTGGTGTTGGATCAGGAGGCTTTGCCTCACCTGTCAGTAGAAATTTCCATTGTCTTGCCCATGTGGAGTGCTTTGGGGACCCAACAGGGACCCTCCACACTTCTTTTCCAATCGAGGCTTCATATTTCTTTATACCTGTATGAAGAAAAATGAAAATGGAAGAGAAAGTGAGATACAACTTAATAAGCTCCTGCCTTTCATCTCTGTTCCCTGGAATTAGGGCTCCCTTTTACCTCTAGGGCAGGGAATAATATGGAGAAAACCTCACAATGTTTATGCCACATTTGACAGCTTTACAGAGCAATATCACAGATCTCATCTTGCCTCAACCTCAGGTCATCCTTGCCTGTATTTAGAGATAAGCATTCCCATTTTTTGCATAAGGATTCAGGAAATCTGAGGGAGTGCCCACAATCTTAGAGATCTGTGAGCAGAAAATGCAGGACTGTCCAGGGACTCAGTGCTCTCTCAGTGCTCAGTGCTCTCTCAGTGCTCAGTGCTCTCTCCCAGCCCAGTGCTCTCTCCACTCCAGTAAATTATTACACACCCACACATGCCTTCCATGGAGAAGGACTAGCTTGGAAAGGCAGCAATGCACAAAACAAACCCCTACAGATCTGGGTCCTTCTTAGGTTGTTCCAGAACTGGGTCCTCATTCTAAATGATACTACCTGTTTTGATATGGTTGAGAGGCGAGCTACTATATCTAAAGCTCAACTCCATTTCAGGCACACAGCAATGCTCACTAAATATTCCTTCTTTTCCCTTTCCCCTCCTCAAACCTGGCCTAAGGAATACAGGTGGAAGGAGCTAAATCAAGCTATCTAACTCCCTGCTCCCCTCCTCCAGAGCAGGACAAACCCTGTGAATGCTTCCTGCAAACTGTAGTTTGCTTCCTGCTCTCAGTTTTTCTCCTTGTGTGATGCCTTTCTAAAGCAGAAGTGTTTCCCAGAAATGTTTCCATGATACTGTGTGGGTTACCATGACCCCAGGGGGCTCTTCCTCATATCCAGCCCTGGTCTAGGCTCCAACCAGTTCCTCATGAGCAAGAGGCTCCTGCTCAGAAGGAGAGCCAAAAAGGCCACAGGGAAAGTTGTCCAACCACCAGCACCAGCAGACAGTGTCAGCCTCTGACCAGCCTCAGCCACTAACCTATTCCTGTCACCCCTACAACCACCACCACTGGACATCAGGCAGACAGCACACCAGGTTACCAACGGATGATTGATTCAAATTTTGTTTCAGAGCCTCTGATTGGTAGTTGCTTTTTTCTGCACACCCTGGACAGAGGGACCAGATGACCTTTGTTTCTGAACTTCAGGAAGCACATGTAGATAGGCCTAAGTTCARAGGGAAAATGATTTCCCATCTCTGCCCCCTCTGTCCTAGAGGATGCCCCTAATGCTGTCCCTCAGGGAAGAGGCTGCCATCCTCGGTAGCATCTCAGACCCCTTGGGAAACATTTTCCAAGCACCATGCTTTGTCCAGGTTATCTTTGGACCTGGCTCCCAAGAAAAAAGAGAAAGTCAGAAAAGAAAAAATCACATTGGAAGGGAGAGGATTTGCATGCAGCCCATGTTCTAGTGGCACATTAATCGCAGACTTGAAGAAAATACTCACAAAAGTTGTGGGACTTGAGGAAAATACTATCGCGGATGGGTTAGGGCCAGACTAGAGCTACAGAGACACATGGGGACAACAGAGGACAGGTTAGTGGGTCTGGGGTGGGGCAGGGGTTCACACAGCACTTCATGGAGGGGCTGGCTCAGCGTTCTTGAGGTCTGGGCTGGTCTAGCTTCAGAATGGGTGTAGAGTAACTGAGCACCAGGTGGGTTGCCTAAAGAATGAGGTCGGGAGAAGTGGGGCTTCCACTGTTAGGAGGACTCACCCTCTGCCTTTGCTCAGGGATGACTTCCAAGCCAGGATCTCTTTGTACACCAACCGACAGAGCAACTGTGAGGAGTCCAAGGCACAGAGGGAAGGGGGGCACCGTGAGCATCAGTACATAGCTCCCAGGGTCAGTTGACCAATGCATTGGCAGCAGAGAAAGGAGTCACCCCCATTTGCAAAGTAGTTCTGAGCAAAGAACTGCTGCTCTTGTTGCCCTAGAACCCCCAGTACAGGGTTCCAACCTGTGGAGACAAAAAAACCCTTCTGATACCCCTTGGTGTATCCCAACAATGCTTACCAAGCAGGCCAGGATGTCAGCAGAGATGAGCATGTAGAAGACATTGTTCCAGCCTGTGGGGGAAATGAGTCCAGCCAGCAAGGGCCCCAGAGCAGCACCTATCAAAGCATAGCCTCATGAGAAGTGGGCCTCACCTTCCCTGTCCACCTGAGGGTAATCCAACAAGCAGTCTGTCCAAGACAGGGCTTGGTCCAGCTGCCAAAAGCCAAATTAACATCACAGACCTATGGAGCCCGTGCCATCGATGATGGCTGACACAGTGGAGAGGGCCTTAGCATTGCCCTTCAGACTCTTGTGAGTGCCCTGAGGAGAGAAGCAGAGTGGAAGGACTGAGCTAAGTAGCAGCACCGAGTAGGACAGGACAGGGGGAGGCTCACTGGGGAGTGTAGTGACTAGGGCTTGGATGTTGAGGAAAGGGATCTGTGCTGGGTTCTCAAGGACTTTAAGGATCTTGTCCCTGTAGGACAGGAGATGGGAAAAGGGATATGGGAAAGTGGCCATGGAGAGAGAAGCCCTGAACAAGTCCCCAGAGTGGTCCTTGGTGCACTGTGTTGGGGGTGGCCTGCTTACCAGATCAGCAGAGACCGCTGTGGTGATAAGTGCATAAGGGCCATTGACCAGCATCCCGCAAATAATCAGCATCACTGGACAGCAGCAGAAATGGTGCAGTTAGAAGTGAGTCCCAAAGTAGATGACACCTCGAGGTCTCAGGCCTCCTAGCTCTTACCCTTCATACCCCCACACCAGCATCATGGGGCTCCCAAAGCAGGGACTTTTCTGTGGCYTAACAGAACTTGCAATGCCCACTCACCTATGGAGCTGACAATCCCACTCTGGCCAAAGTAATTGTACAGGAACATCTGTGAGAGGAGGAGGGAGGCAGAGTCACATCCAGGTTCCCCTGGATGGGCTAGAACAGCCCTTTCCTGATCTGAAACACCAGATGTCCCCTTATTCCTCCTCCCTCTCACACCCAGACTTTTCAGGTCTTTAAGCAACCCAGGGATGGAAGATGTAAACATGAATTTTTTCCTAAAAAGCCTTCTCTCCTATCTAACCTCAATCTCTTTCCCTTTTCTTGGTCAAGAAGTTTCGTAGCTGGTCTCCTTCTTCTCTACCAAGGTCAAATAATAATTAATCCCTTTCCAAAATTCCCAGTCCTGGTCTCTTTCCCAGGGGCCTGATTCTTCTGACCCTCACTTCTTCTCCTCCCAGGTGTGCACAGGGAGTACACTCACATGTACAAGAGACAGCTGTATGCATAAATGTAGAGATRGGCACACAGGTCAGAGGCCTGTGACATCTACTCATAGGCACTTGGCCCTTGAGGTTATACGCACCATGGGGGCAGCCAAGATCAGCATGATGCAGCAAGTGGTGGCCCTGCCGTTGGTGTAGTCAGAGATGAGCCCTGCCATGATGCCACCTGGAACACACACCACTCACACACTGCCCTCCGACAGGAGGACGCCATCCCCTTGCCTGCTGCCCAGCTTCCCCCCATTGCCCTACTCAGCTTTGGCTTGCACCTGACACATCAAGGACCAGCAGAGCGTCTCCCTCCACATCCCTCCCTGGCACCCATTACTATGAGAAACCACACAAGCCATCTTTCTTAAGCCTATCCAGCCCTGCAGGAGCAGAGAAGACTGTTCTCTAGAGCCACCTGCCCAGGCACAGCCCATTGGACCTACTTCTTCTTTCTTTACCCCTAAGGAGAATCAGGGAAGCCCACTGGTAGAGCAGGTCAGGGCCTCACCTATGATGCCACCAACATCAAAGAGTGTAGACAGGTCCCCAGCCTCCTTGGCACCAAAGTGAGCTTTAGAAAACACAAATACATGGTCAGACACCCAGAGGTTCAGGGCAAGCATTCTGCGTGCTGCAGAATAATCCCTACAGGGCCCTGATCCAGCCCCATCTTCCACCTGAGAGCTCATGGCACAGTGATTTGCCAGGGCTGCAGAGTGGCTTTGCAGCAGTTTGGGACATAGTCTTTCTGGTTTTCAGTCCTGCACTGCCCTTMTCCCCTGGAGGATGACTTTAACCTCTTAGAATAGACCTTGTCTCACAAAGCTGGGATCTGGGTCCTTAGAACCCCACCCCAAGAGCCATCTTTCCCCCCAGAGTGCAGTCACTCTCACTGAGCCTCAGCCCAATCAGCCACTTGCCCGGTTCCACTCCTGACCTAACAGCAGGTTCCACTAAGTGCCCTTCCCAGCCACCTTAGGGCTCTACTAATGCAAAGAGCGAGAAGACTTGCAGGGAAATGGGGAACTTGGGCCCAGGCCTTGGTTCTAGGCTTAGAAAAAGGAATGTCCAGAAGCTTGACTTGTAGCCCTCCCCCAATGTTGACTCATATTCTGAAGTCAGAGCTAAGCCCTTAAAACAAAGAGTCACAGTGTCCACAAAACTGCCCCAGAACTCTACCAGTATTACCAAGAGGGGTCCCTAATGTAGAGCTAAAGGGAAAGACGCAGCTTGAGATCTGGCCATGACTAATCCACAAGGACTCCTATTCAGAGAAAGCACAAATGTGGTAACATTTGTGGGCAACATCGTCCCTCCCCAGGGCTGAGGGAGTCGAGCAGCCTTGGGTGAGAGGTCCTGAGTGAGAGGTAGAGTTTTGAGGTTCCCAGGGTCTGGGAAGGTGAAGCATGCTAGATAGAGACCCCCGCTCAAGGAAAAGCAGAGGCCCAGGTCAAGGGGATATCAAACACTCTTTTTCAATATCACAAGTGATCTCTCTTCATCTGTACATCCCTGAACAGGGGAAGGGAAAAGTATCCCATGACACTGGGCAGCTCCCCCAAAGCAGACCAGCAGAACTCAATACAAAGGTATAAGACCCATAGAAGAAGGGCCCTTGGGGCCAGGGTTGTGGCTCAGTGGTAGAGTGCTTGTCTGGCATGCCTGAGGCACTGGGTTCAGTTCTCARCTCCGAATATAAATAAATAAGCAAAATAAAGGCCCATCGAAACAAAGAAGAAGAAGAAGAAGAAGGGCCCTTTGGTTACTGCCAGGCAGCAGGCCTCTTCTTTGGGCTGGGGAAGCACTCATGGTAGACCTTTCCAGCACCCAGCTCCACCCACTTGTGAGCCAAGCAGCCTGGAGTGTGGTGTTTTTCTTACTCTCAGGCTGAGGAAGACAAGGGAGGATGGTAGAACAGATCTTTGGAGTCAGGGTGAACTCAGTTGGACTCAGGGTCTAGGTATAATGTACAGAGCTTCCCACTTAAACAAAAAATTAAATAAATCTCCTCATGCCCTAGTTGAAGCTCAGCACACTGGAGTCTCACACAGTGCTGCAGTGGCTTCCTCTCCCACCAGAAGTAGCCTTGCTCTCCTTGGAGATCTCTTGCTCTTAGCCCTTCTGTCCCTTGGACTTACCCACATTGAAGATGTAAAGTGGCAGCCAGTAGAGGAAGGTGTAACTGACCAGCTTGGCGAAGAGCAGACAGAAAGAGAACTCAATCACACCCTGGGGAGCATAAAGAAGGTCACAATGGAACAGGGTCCAAGAGATCCTCCATCTGGTGGTGGCTCAGCACTACCCTGGGACTGTTTATCACCTTCCACAAAACAAACTCATACCCACACCTAATCCCGAAGGAAGCAACATGCCTGCTGCTCCATGCTGTGTCAAGTCTCCCAGATCACCCTCCCCAAGCCCACTACTTCCCCTCCACCTCTCTCATAAGGAAATTCTGGAAATCATTAGTCACCCCCCATCCCATCTTCTGATATTCAGTGGAAAAATCTAGAAAATCCCTCTCTCCCTTCATTCCACAAACTTCTCACCGGGATTTTGAGTGCCCCCAGGAAGCTGATGGCCACAGGCTCAGCGCATGGCTCCTTGGAGCAGCTGGTCACAGTCTCCTGGATGGTCTCCCTATTAGGGTAGGGACTGTTTTCAGGGTCCTCAGGGTTGTCCTGGTCCTTGTCTGACACATCCTGTGCAGAAGAGAAGAGCCCTCATTGAAAGCTGGTCCATATACCCCCTTACCCAGCTAGAGCGTGGCCCAGGTGAACAGGAGGAGGTGTGCATCTCTTTCTTGGACAGGACTGACTCTGCCAGGCCCACTGGGTTTTTAGCCAGTTAGTCCAATGGCCTAATACTGGGTCTGTGAAGTCAATGGCAGCGGGGGAGGGGCACAACTCCCTCCTCCAACTACCAGATCTTCCTTGGTCCAGCCCCAGTCATGGGGAGGGAAGGCAGGGATAGAGCTGGGAGGGGTCACACTCACGTGATGCTGTGGAGGGGCACAGTCCACATCTTCTGGGTCTGGAAAAAAAAAATCTTCTAAGAAGCTTCCTACAGGCCAGCTTTTACTTTACAGCTGGTACAGGAAGCTGGCTATACCATCTCCTGTGTGGTCTCCCCTCCATGACGGAATGGGCACTGGGGTTCAGGAGGCCAGTTTTCTAGGCCTGGCTCTCCTAATTACCATGTCACTACTGCCTCTTGGACTACAAAGTGGCTATAAACCCAGTCTTGCCAACTCACAAGGCCTCACAAGATGTCAGAAAATGGGGAAAACACCAGGCACAGTGGTGCAAATTTGTAACCCCAGGAGGCTGAGGCAGGAGGATGGTGAGTTCAAAGCCAGCCTCAGCAAAAGTGAGATGCTAAACAACTCAGTGAGACCCTGTCTCTAAATAAAATACAAAATAGGGCTGGGGATGGGGTTCAGTGGTCAATTGCCCCTGAGTTCAATCCCTTGTACCTCCCCTTCCCCTCTCAAAAAAAAAAAAAAAAAAGAAAGAAAGAAAAGAAAAGAAACTGGGGAGGACAACAGTCAAATGTACCAAATGAAAGAGATTAGGTTCTGTGAGCATGGCCCTTCAACCACACCTGCCCCTTCCCATACCTCTCAGATCCAACCAGTGTTGACTGGGCTGCTACAGGCCAAGCTCTTTTTGTGTGTGGTAGTGGGTATTGAACGCAGGGGCACTTTAGCACCAAGCTACATCCTCAACCCTTTTTAATTATTTTGAGACAGGGTCTTGCTAAATTGCTGAGGATTTCAGTAAATTGCTGAGACTGACCTTGAACTTGTGATTCTCAGTCTCCCAAATTGCTGGGATTACAGGCATACACCACTGTGCCCAGAAAAACCAGACATTTTAACTACATTGTAACTTCTTTAATCCTTCAGACATTCCAGGGAGTAGATATTATTATTATTTTGCAAATGAGAAAACTGAGTCTCAGCAACACACAGCTGATCCTCCAACCCCATGCCCAGCAATCTTTCCAGTGTATCTACTGCCTTCTCCCAGAAACAGAGAACTGGGAGGCTCACTAGTGGGGTCTGTGGGGTCCACTCACATTCAATGAGGAAGAGGAAGGTGATAATGCCCATGATAGCTGTGATGACACCAGGCACAATAAATGACAGACCCCACTCTTGGTTCACCCAGATGCCGGCAATCAGGGAGCCCAGGATGTTGCCCACAGACGTATGGGAATTCCAGATGCCCATGATGAACCCCCGCCTGCAGGGGAGGGAAGGAAAGGGGAGAAGTGTAGAGAAAGTAATGACCCTGGCCAAGATGTAAGTCTGGTTGCCCACAGCCTCTAGGAGGTGCCCAAGCCTCCTAGACTTGCAAAACCCCAGAGACACAGTCAGTGAGGAGGAGGAGGGCTGGGCTGTCGCCAAGTAGGCAACTGGTCTGGGCTCCACCCCTCTTTGCCAGCACCCTGAGCAAGCACAGGTGAGAGCTCTCACCACACAGAGAGTGTGGAGCCCCCACTCTTTCTTCCCTTTTGCTGCACCATAATCTTACTCTAAAGCAGAGGTCCTCAACTGGGGGGCAATTGTGCCCCCCAGAACATCTGGTAACATCTAGAAATTTGAGGGTGTCATAATTCAGGGTTTGCTCCTGGTACCTAGTGGGAAGATGCCAAGCATGCACTATAATAAGCATCCAATGACCAAGAATTGAACAACCCAAAATATCAATAGCTCTAAGGGTGAGAAATCTTGCTCAAAGGCAACYTTTTCTTTTTCTTTCTTCTTTTTTTTTCAAGATAGCAAAACCAGTTTTTATAGACCTCTTTTTGTCTTCTTTCAAAATGGAAATTCATTCTTTTTGAGAAAAAGTATAAATAAGGTTGCCTTAACTATGGGTTAAATCCTCATGGATGACAAAAATAGCACTGCTCCCATGGAAACATTTGTGTCTCAGCCTGTGGACATCAACCAACCAGAGGAGGCACTCTCTACTCTTTCCCCTGAGTTTACACCAGAGGGCCGTGAGTGATCATCTCAGTAGTCCCAGCCCTCAAGGTCCTTCCCACCCTCCTCCTTCGTCATACTCACTTCCCCTTCCCGAACCAGTTGCCGACACAAGCCACCACTGAGGGCCAGCCTGTGGTCTGGACAAGTCCATTACAGATCTGTAGGGAGAGAGGATGGAGGGTGAGAACAAGCCTGGGCCATGCTCCACAGCCCTGGGTGGAGGAAGTTCAATGTGACGCTGAGGGGCCTTCCACACCCTACACTACAAACCTTGCCCTTCCCTCACATGCCTGTCCACCCACACCCCAATGTCATGAGCTGATTTCTCCTCTAGCTCAAGACTGAGCAGAGACCAAGCCTCTCATGCCTTCTGAAGGGATCTCAGTGCTGTGTTCAGGGCAGATTTACTGAGCTAATAATTCATGGCTGTTGGGTGTACAGTGTGATGGAAGGAACTGAAGTGGGAGCAGGGAGTGAGTCCAGGTCTCCATCTGTTGTGACCTGGGGACAGATGGGAAGGACAGTAGCCTCTGGGGTCCTTTTAGTGATTGGAACAAAGGCCCAAGGACAAGATGGAGATTCGTACCTGGATGAGCACAAAGTACCAGAGTACATGGATATTCCAGAAATATCCCAGGCCAAAGAGGGAGGTGAAAAGGCCACTGAGCAGCATTCCAGCTGAAAGGTAATAACGGAGGGGGAGCCGCTCCCCAAAAATTCCACTGGAGAAGAAGTAGTTAGATTTATGGTCAATATCCTTTATGWCTACTACCACCTCATTTCTCCCCTAACCCCAAGCCACTGAAAGTTTACACCAATGACCTCTGTGCTGTCACATGTCAAGGCTGACCTCAGCCCCCACTTTCTGGACTCCTGCCTTTTTTTTTTTTCCCCAATATGGGGAATTGAACCCAGTGTGCTCTATCACTGAGCTACATCCACAGTCCTATTTTATTTTATTTTGAGATAAAACAGGCTAGCCTTGAATTTACAATCCTCCTGCCTCAGCCATCTCAAGTAGCTGGGATACAGGCATGTGCCAAATACCCAGTCAACTCCTTCTGCTTTATTTGACACTGCTGGCCATACAGTGAAGGCACTGTTGCTCATCTCCTTCCCCTGTGGCTGGCCATTCCTTGTCAATGATTTCCCTGTGGCAGCAATCTCTTGCATCACTTTTATGTTTAAACTCTCACCTGTATGCTCAATAGTCCCAGCTGTGTATCTTCAGTCCTGATCTGGTCCCCAGAGTTATAGGATCATATCCAGACACCTTCTGGACATCTTTACTTGGATGTCCCCAAAACATTTGAAATTGTACACTTGAACTGAATTCCTCTTCCTTCTTTCACCACTCAGCTCCTTGGCCTGATCTCTGATCTGAGAGAAGTGYACCACCAACCCACTTGGCTGCTCAAGACAGACCAGGGAGCCACAGGAGACTCTGCCTCTCCTCACTTCCCACCTCTCACATTCAGTCTCTGAGGCCCACCATTCTACCTTTTCAATGTTTGCAGTRCTAGAGATTGAACCCAGGGCCTTGCACATGCTAAGCTCTGTCACTGAGCTGCATGTATAGCTTCTTTCTGCTTCTTAAATTATTCTGCAGTGTGCTGACTTCCATCTTCATTACCACAGTAGAAACTCACACTCAGCAGCTTGGTCTGTTGTCAAAGCTTTTTCTGGGCTGGGCACAGTGGCACATGCCTATAATCCCAGTGGCTCAGGAGACTGAGCCAGGAGGATCATGAGTTCAAAGCCAGCCTCAGCAACTTAATGAGGCCCTAAGCAACTTAGTGAGACCCTGTCTCAAAATAAAAGATTAAAAATGCACTGAGGATGTGGTTCAGTGGTTAAGTATATCCCCTGGGTTCAATCCCTTGTACCAAAAAAAAAAAAAAAAAAAAAAGCAAAAGCCTCCCCTTGGTATGACCTATCTTGCTCTCCCTCACTTCTCCCTCAGATTGATCTATCCTGAAACAAACGTGGGGTAAAAACCCTCAATCACTTTCTCTCCTCACAACCTGACACACAGGCCTTTGGCACATGACCTCATCCTTTAGTTCCATCTTATGTTACTTCCTTGGAATCTCCTCTCTGGAAAACCTGTTTCCTCACTTGCCTTATTTTGCTCATGCTGTGCCTTCTGCCTAGATCCCCTTCTCTGCTACCAGGCCCATGACCTCTTTACTAGTTCAAGGCTCATATCCTCCAAGAAGCATTCTACAACCCCATCTTCTCCAATCCCTGCTTGAACTCTGTAAGTATTCTGAACTCCAGAGCACCTGATGGCCTTCTCTATCCTAGAGCCACCTTGCCATTTTGTAATTAGCAGATGATGCCTGGGTCGCCCCATTAGGCTGTGAGCTCTTTGAAGGCAGGACCCTGCCTTATTCAACTGTGATTCCTATCAGTGAGTTCCAAACTGGTTTTGCCAGATTCATGCTTGCTGGGCTAACCTTAGACACAGCACAGGATAGRAGCTTCCTGGGTATCTCCACATCTAGGGCCTCTTCAGAGGGACCCTGCTTCACACCCACCAATGCTAAGTCAACTCAAAAGGGGCATCTTGAAAATCTTCCAGGAAAAAGGGCAGCTAACAGTGGGAGTCCACCAGGTGAAGGAGCAGTCTTGGTGGCCACAGTGAGGAAAGGAGGCTGATGGTTTATGCACAAGTCTTGGCCTCACTCCCACCCAGGGAGCAAACAGCTTTCACCCTTCAGCCTGCTGCCCCCAGGTTAGACAAGGGGAGGCTGCAGTTCTGAACCATTCCACTCTGGATGGGCACAGGCTCTGCCCCTCTTTACCTGATAAACATGCCGATGGCATAGGCCACAAGGAAGGCATTATCCACAGCCCCCAGTAATTCCTTGTAGTCATCTTTATCTGAAAGCAGACAGAAGAGACAGAAAGTTGACTGCTTAGCTTCCCCTGCCACTTGGAAGCCCTTTTTGGCTCTGGGTAGCCCCTTCTTGAGGAAGAGGGAACAGGAGTGGAGAAGAACAACATGCTCTGTTTTTACCAAATGGACTCCAGCTGCACCACGAGGTATCATTTAAACTGTGGGTATCATTGATGGGTTTGATCAGCTCCGAGCAGTTCTGGTGCAGACGGCTCTGRGGAGGCAATGATCTGCATAGGTCAGGGGTCATCTCATCATCCCAGACCCCACTCAGCTTAGAGAAGAGAAGGATCTTCTACCCCAACCACACCAGCACCACTGCCTTCCCCCGCTCCCCCAGATTCCTTGTTCCCTTCTGCCSGCACCTTCCTTAACAGTGACTGAATATAGGGAAAGGTGGCTATCTCAGACTGGTAAGCAGGACAAATAGCGCCCAGGACCCCTGCCTTCTCATCCCATCCATACCCCCAACACTGAACAAACTCAAAAGAAGCACATAGGGAAATATTCCTGAGGGGGAAAAAAAAAAGAGCTACTAACTTTGGGTATCTGCCAGGGGGAAGGAGTGGTCCCTGTGACCAGGGAAAGGGAAAGAGGCAGGTAATGGCCTGAGGACAAGACCACTCCATTAAAGTGCACATCTGCTGGCCCCAGCACGTCCTGCATTCTCCATTACTACCCAGCCTCACCTTGACAATGCTGATTGGCTTCCTGGACATGTGATAACATGTATAAATGAGGAAGGTGAGCAGCAGGGTGAAGCCACGGAACCTGCAGAAGAAGCCAGGCATCTGGGTCAGCAGGAAGCCAAACCCCAGCTGGGAGCTGCCTCCAGCCTGTGCCTGCTCTGGTAGCCCCAAGGCCTCAGCCCCACTTACTCTTTATCTCCAGGTTCCCTTTTAGACACAAATTCTCAGGGGCAGAGGCCAGGGGGAGGCTCAGAACAGCCGGGCAGAGGACAGATTGCTGGGAGCATTATCTCCCTGGTTTCTAATAGACTCCTGAGGTTTCTAATAGACTGGCCAGTCACCCACACCTTAAAGGGAAGCACCTCCCCTGCTCCTGTTGCTTTCCAGCCCCTTTGTTTCTCTGTGGCCTAATCTAGGCAAGGGCTTCTGGGTGTCTGTATGAGCCACAGGGATGGTGGCAGGGATCTGGGATGGTTTTGTTTTTGCTTTTATTGGGGATTGAACCCAAGGGTGCTTAATCACTGAGCCACATTCCCAGTTCTTTTTTTTTTTTTGTATTTTATTTAAAGACAGGGTCTCACTGAGTTGCTCAGGGCCTCACTAAATTACTGAGGTTTGCTTTGAAATCATGATCTCTCAGCATCTGGAGCCACTGGGATCTCTCAGCATCTGGAGCCACTGGGTGTGCTCCACCACACCCAGCTGGGATGGTTTTTAAATGTCAGAAACATAGGAGTGGGAGGGAACTGCAGAGGAAGGAGGGTCTGTCTTCAAAGTGAGGTCAATAGTCGTCTTGAGCTTGAACACAGCAGACRGTCCAGGCCTCAGTTGGAGATGAGTCAGCTGGGGCAGCTGGTGACAGAACCCAAGTYTTCTTCATAGTCTCAAGCTGGTGCATTCCACTGGACAGAAAGATCATTCTTTCCCTCTGTGGCACACACATCCCATGTGCCCTCTCCCACCCCCTGCYTTGCATCTCATCCACTGGCCTGGGATGGAAAGAACAGTCCCAGTCAGACACCAATCAAAATTTCCACTGCAGCCTAGGCCCTTTTCCTCTCCTAAGGGTCTGGGGAAGGAAGAGCCTGCAGTGCCTGCCTGAGTCACTGTCTGCTTTGACAGCAGGCCATCAGCTGAGCCAAGTCAGCAGCTGCCGAGAACCAGAAAGAAGGTGGAAAATAGACCTCAGAATGGGGGTTGGGATGCAGCTCAGTGGTATTGTGGATGCTTACAAGGCACCTTAAAAAAACATGGTCTCCCCAGCCTGAGAGAAATATCCAGGCATTAGGAAGACCAAGTTCTTTGGCTCATCAATTAAACATCTCATGAGAAGTATGTAAGAGGGCTCTGGAAATCTTTGTATCCCTTAGTTCCATGAATCTAAGAGTAGATACTAGATGCTCACTCTGTCCTCTCTGGGAATCTACACCCAAACCCCAAACTCACTTCCCTCAAACATGTCATGAAGCAATGCAGGCTCTCACTTGTGAAATAGAGTATTTCAGCAAAGCCCAAATTTGGGTTGGACTATCAATTCCCTTCTCACTTTACCCCTGGATTTGCACTTCTTAAGAGGGTCTCTGTCTCCATTCTGTCCATTTTAAGCTTTTCTTCTTTTTTTTTTTTTAAATATTTATCTTTTAGTTTTAGGTGGACACAATATCTTTATTTTATTTTTATGTGGTGCTGAGAATTGAACCCAGTGCCTCACACATGCTAGGTGAGCATGCTACCACTTGAGCCACATTCCCAGCCCTAAGCTTTTCTTCTTAAGAGAATGAAGTTACACATGGCCTTCTCCATTACTTTGAATAAAATTTTTCAGTGTCTTTCCATTCCATCAAAAAATGCAATTCCAACTATGTAGTCTGGATTTCACTGCCCAAAGACACCTGAATGGATCACAGGAGTCTTCTAGAGGCTTGAATTCTATCCTAAGTGCCTGTCTGGTGACTGACATTAGCAGTTTGTGGCAGAAAAGTTTTCTGGTTCTACTGGTTGCCATATGGCACACAACTCCTAGTTCAGGGATTTCTAGAAGCTGAGGTCAATTTTCTGAGAGAATTTGGATAGGGTGTCTAGCTGACCTTCTACAAACAAGGAAGTAGGTGCAAGGAAACTTCACCTAGAGAACACCAATGCTGCCCTTGCCTGGGATGCTGCCTCATTCAGGGAAAAGTTGGAAAGACAGAGACACCTGTCACTAATTTATTGGGTAAACATTTTCTGCCTCTGCTTCACTCCTCAGTTGTACCAGAATATAGCATCAACCCCATCCATCTCACAAGACAAGTGAACACAATATCCTCCTATGCTCATCTCTAGGTCTCTGTCACTATCACAATAGTGACAGATCAGATCCTTTCTGGATCTGAAAGACCTCCAGGACCTCCCCACTGGGGCCCCTGAAAAGCCAGGCAATGGGGTCTTTGCCAGCTATGGAGCCTGATGTGGCCAGGAGGCCAGGCTACACCTCAGCAAGCACACCCAGCCCTCTCAGGAGCTGAGCAGAAACAAAGAGGGCCCAAAGGGATAGCCTGGCTGCCAGCAACCCTTCCRTTCCCACCCCCACTCCCCAATAATACCATACTGCTTCATTCCCACATGCCAGGAGCTGCCCGMCAACAACCTCAGCCTACCCTCCTTGACTTTCTCCTAGCTATGGTCCCAGCTATACCTCCTCATCTGCTCCATATCCCTTTCCTCCAGAATCCTTGYGCTTTCCAACTCCAGGTAGGATAACTGTGCCAGAGGACAGACATATTCATGTCCATTTCTAACATCCTGATTCTCTTGGCAGAAACGAGACTGCTTTTCTGTCCACCCATGTGCCTTCCATGTCCCAGGTGTCAGCCTAAGGATCTGGAAATAGCAGGAGGAATCTTAAGAAGGATCTTTGCCCTGCTGGAACTCACATGTGAGTGGAGAATAGACAAAGTCAGTGTGACTGTGCTATAAAATAAAGAAGTCCTGCCTGACACTGGAGCATAGAGGAGGGATATCAGGCCCAACAGAATGGGAGCAATGTCTTTCAGAAAGAGATTCCAGTGGTGAGGCTTCAGTTGTGTCTTAAAAAAAAAAAAAAAAAGCAGGAAGAGGCCAAGTCAATCATAGCTGGGCAGAAAGATATGCCAGGGAGAGGAAGCAGTTTGTGCAAAGGCACTGAGGCGTGAAATAACACTACCTGTTTAGGGAACTTTGCATGGCTCCGGATATCTGTAAGGTGGGACTGAGCCAAATACAGACGAAGTGGCTGGAAAAAGGCAGAGCCAAGACCAAGCAGGACCTTGGGTGCCAACCAATGGTGTTTGGGCTATTTCTTGAGGATAGAAAGTCACTGAGGGACACCTAGGTCAGGGTGCTCTGGACAGGAGCCAGGCGAAGTCCTAGGAACACTCAGGCTTCTATCCTGTTGATTCTGGGGGAAGCCCCAGCTAGCTTTCCTCAGTGCAGGGTCTGTTTCCTGTGCTTTTTCTACCTGCCAACTACCCCAGGGGACACAGCAGCATCTTGGGCCCCCCTAGGTGTGTATTTCAAGGAGTTGATGTCTATAATAGAAAACAGCAAGGACTTAGAAATCAGGCAAAAGCTGGATTCATTCCTTAAACCTTTTCACTCCTCTAAAAAGCAGTTTTACCGACAGGTTAGAGTTACTGACAGGTTTTATCACATTCCTAACACCCAGTAGGCATTTAAAAATAGAAGTTAGTATTGCTTCAGACTTAACAGATGAGGAAGAAGAGCTGGAGGGACAGAGACAGGCCTTGCTGCTCTGTCACTGGTACCAAACTCTTCTAGACTGTGATTTCTAGATCCTGGATTCCAGCCCCTTCCCCCACCTCTCCAGGAGGCATACCTGGGTCCCCATGAACACAAATATCTGAAGCCAATAGTACCCTCACCTTGCCTGGGGTGGATGGAGTGCCTATGGAGAGCCTGCAATGGTACAATGAAGTGACCCTGACCTGCTGAGGCCTTTCCACTTTCCCTCAGGGGCAGACAGGAGGATCAGCAGGGTCCACACTGGCATGCTATGATTTTCCAGCCCTTTCCTCTCCTTGAGAGGCCTGCTTGACCTACACCCAAATTCCTAGAAAACCTGATCTCCAATGAGCAGAGTGGCACACACCTGTAATCCCTATGGCTTGGGAGGCTGAGGCAGGAGGCAGTTCAAAGCCAGCCTTAGCAACAGCAAAGTGCTATGCAACTCAGTGAGACCCTGTCTCTAAATAAAATACAAAATAGGGCTGGGGATGTGGCTCAGTGGTCAAGTGCCCCTGAGCTCAATCCCCAATACACCCCACCCCCCCAAAAGAAAACTTGATCCCCAAAGTGAGCAGGAGAGTCGTGATTCCTGGATCCAGGGGTCCTTAGCTGTGCTGTGTGATGCTAAGCCTGGCATTGGATTCCTCTGGGACTTCCAGCCTGGACTCCAGATGGATGGAGGGGTTGAGCTCAACGTCACACCACACTGGCACAGTGCATGGCGGGGCAGGCCTCCTCCTAGTCTGATGCTCTTTCCRTACAAACTTGTCAGGGTGTTCTCAAGAAAAGGCTCAGGTATCATCATTCAAAGGGGCCTGAGGACATAGGTCAGATTAAGGGCTGGGTTAARCTGAGTCAAGCTTATGAACACACACTCAATTTGCAGGCCAGAAAGCTGATGCTCTCCTACTGTGGGTGGGACCTGGGAGGTTTCACTTCTCTTCACAAGCCCTTCCTTTGAGAATCAAGGGGCCCCAGAAGGGGAGCAGGGTACAAGGTATGCACAACTGTGAGTAGAGGGATGGCAATCCCAGTGTAGGACCAGGCTGGGCAAGCAGGTCAAGGGCCAAGGGTGATGAGGTGCAAGGCTCGCAGGTAGTTCTAGGTGGGGCTTGCTGCCTCATTACCCTCTAAATCTGTTGACAAGAGGTGGCACTTCTTAGAATCCCACCTCCCCCTACCAGATACTGGTTACTGAATAACCAAGTCAGATAGAGAGGAGGACTAGCTATCTCTTAATTGTTAGCTGACAATCCAAMTTATTCTTTCAAAGGAGCATGATAATGGCTTTATTGACCATGATAAGACTTTGCACTA